GATCCAACAGAAGAGCATGATAGACTGGCAAGAATTAAAGAAAAAGAGAAGGAACGACAAGATGAAGAATCATGGTGGGAAAAAATCAAAATCGAGGTTCCTCATTGGGTGGTTGAAGCCGTAGAATAGAAATGGTTTGTATGATGGGATCGAGCTGATATGATTTCTTAGTTTGTCTGGACTCCGTTGCTTGCAGAAAACTTAAGGAACAACATTAGAACCTGTTTGAAGAATAATTCAATGCGCGTAATATGTTGCTGAATTCTATCAATTATCCACCGAATTATCATTTATTCAAAACTATTTCTTGGCTTCTTTTGGCTCCTTCTTGTCTTTGTCCTCGCATAAAGTTTCCTTCAACTTGCCTAAAGTCTTCTTTAGAAACCCTTCATTTTCTGTTGTGTCAGTTTTAAAAGCACTGTTCCCTGTTAATGCCCAATATCTGTCAAGAGTAAATTTCTGTTCTGCAGTCAAGGAATCTCCAGATGGGATCATAACTTTCAGATTCACAACAAGGTCTCCTTTGTTTCCAGACCTCTGATGTAACTTTTGAACGCCTTGTCCCTTTAAAACGACTTTATGCCCAGGTTGCGTTCCGCTTGGGATCTTAACACCAGCTTCTTTACCATCGATTGTTGGTACTTTAATAGAGTCACCCATTATGGCTTGATAAAATGAAACAGGAACTTCCGCATAAAGATCGCTTCCTTTTCGTGAGAACATTGCTTCAGAAGGGCCAGGTTTTCCAACCTCAAGCAGAATGTATAAATCACCAGGCTTTCCTCTTTCTCCAGAATGTCCCATTCCACTATATCGTAACCGTTCGCCAGAATCTACACCAGCAGGAATATCAACCACAGTTTCTTTGAATTCCCTTGTCTTTCCGTCTCCTCTACACGTTCCACAGATATCACTCTGACTTACTGAAGAACCAGCACCACCACATGTTTGACAGGTCATAAATATTTTGAATCCACCTTTAGACACCATCTGTTCACCACTACCACCACAAGCAGAACATTTCTTCGGAAAGCTTCCTGGTTTAAGTCCAGTTCCTGTGCATGTTTTGCAACTACTCGTAGCATGATAGCCAATCTTTTTCTTGATACCTTTAATAGCATCCATGAATGAAATACTCAATCTCGTAGTTATATCTGCATTCTGTGCTGGTGGGGCACGCCCTGCTGATCTTGGAAAGCCTTGACCAAATATCGATTCCGCTGTAAAATCATCAAAACCAGGGAAGCCACCGAAGCCTTGCGATCTCCGCCCTGATGCTCCGCCACCTCCAAAAAAGCTCTTAAAAATTTCCTCTGCAACTCGAGGATCCACGTCGCCCCATTGACCGCCATTAGCACCAGAAAATCCACCTCCAGCTCCTCCGGCACCATCACCTGCATGACCGCATTGATCATACATTTTACGCTTATTATCATCACTTAAAATCTCATAAGCCTCTTGTATCTCCATAAACTTCTCCTTAGCTGCTGTTTTCTCCTTATCTGTTGCAGTCTGGAACGAATCTGGATGATACTTCTTTGCGAGCTGAAAATACGCCTTCTTGATATCGCCTGAAGATGCCGTCTTCGATACGCCCAAAACTCCATAAGGATTCTTGTTTAAAAGCTGTGGCCGCGTAGCATGAAAGTATCGTTTTGATTTCTAAAGTTGTAAGAAAGACTAATAAAGTTTACCTGGTCGGTTGATGCCAGAGGTGTTGGTTGATTTCCAGCTAAGCCTGATCGAACTGATATAACAAGAGGCGTGCGATACGACAAAGATGTGAACAGTCGAGAAGTGGAAGCGTTAATTCTTCGTTTGCTAAGCTTGGACACGATTTTCGAGTGAATCATCAATTCCAGAATTCGATAGAAAATTTGGTTAGAAACTCTATTAGTGATTCCCAACACCATCGATACCCTCCCCTTGATCTAAGAATGTAAGCCAATGCAATTTTCCTGCCAGATCATCCCCTGATCTGTTTAAAGACGCTGAGCTACCATTCATGGTATCTGTCTTTGGCGATTCTAACTGTGAGTCGTCATGGTCGCTAGTTTCGGTGCCAGAGAATATAACACCACGAGAAGAACCAATTGTTTGTGATCCACTTTTTGTTCCTAAAGTCAAAGTCTGGGCATTTGGTCTCTTCTTCAATTTAGCTGGTCTAGACTTTTGTTTTTGGTCTGAAGAAGGTTCCGTCGGCTTTTTGAATGGTGTAGACATTGTAACGCCATCTTGTAAAGCACGAACATAATGAGACACTTTACAAAGTTCCCACTGGAGGAATTCAAACTTGTTTAACCAATTCTTGTCGATTCTGTTTGATAGTTTTGGATTAATAGATGAAAATTTCGGTAAAGGATCGAATCCTAAGTCAGGCCTTGGAGGAGAGTATATACAATTGAGAAGGGCTTTTGGAAGAGGAGGTATCTCCAGCGTGATATTGGACGGTGGCGGTAGAGTAACAAACCATCCTTTTTCATGAGAATTCTTTGATCTTTTCGTTACAGTTCCTGAGCCACCATTCGATCTTTGATTTAAATCTGCCAGAGAGTCGCTTCTTGGTGTAAGACGAGGAACAGTGGTACCTGCGGTTATAAACACCAATTTCGGATGCCAGTAAACATTAGCTTCTCCATCTGTTGTTCCCAGAGACATTGAACTTTCCTCACTGTGATTAGTTGCATGAGAAGATAATGATGACTTTTGTTGGAAGATTCGATTTACACTGTTGCTCCTACTGAGCGCTGTTGGAGTTAATGACTCGTTTGACTCTAAACTATTGGTAGAAATTGATCCTGGAAATCCTTTTGCTTTTGAAGCAAACTGCATAATGTTGTCAATATCCCCGCCGGTCTCATTTAAATTGCTCATAAGATTACCAGAAGAGTTTGTCTTCTTTCCGAAAAACGTTGGCTTTCTTCGAAGAGTTGATGATGAGTCGTTTGAAACGGGAGATATACCAGTTTTATCCATCACTCTTGATACAGCACCATGCTTGCCTTTGCCCATATCTGGAACGACTATCAGCTCCTGGATGCCTTTACCTATACCAATATTTTTCAAAATCTCACGAGATGCTAAATGCTCAGTTACTTCTTCTTTCAGTTTCCTGTATCTTTCCTGCCACATTCTTAGCTGTTTCTCAGGTTTTGGAAGTTTTTCTCTGTCAAAGCCAAAAGGTACATCAGTGTTTCTTGCACTCTTTCCAAAAATTGAGACTTCTTCTTTAGCCTTACTATGAGACGCTGGAACAAAAGGAAATGATGGAGTCTTCCACTCGGCAATGCTTGTATCCTTTACTTTACCAAATTCTCGTCTTGGAGGCTCCAGCTCTATTGGCTTTTCTTCAACAACAGGTTGTTCTTCTTCAATCAACAACGAATTCTTAAATACAGACCCTCCAACCGCTAGAACATCATTGACAACTTCGCTTAGTAGTTTCAATTGAAATTTGATGGTGTATGTTTCAGTACTCTCAGAAATCGGACTAAAATACTCTGATGTGTCAACGGATGCGATTTCTGTGTCAGGAGTTTTGACGGAGCAATTTGTGTTAATTCTGGACAAGGCTGGATCTTTTGCAGACTCGGTTTCCTTTTCCAAGCGCTCGGTTTCTTCTGCTCCTCCACTGATAAAATCCATACACCACTCTCTTTCAAACCCATACCAAATACTTCCTACTGGGACAGGCAAAGGTTCTCTGCTCTCTCTAGCTGCCCAATAATTTATCACCGACACCCATTCTCTTACGGCGAGCTCTGAGAAGGCTTGAAAAACATACAAGCCACCATTAGGCAAAACCAGCTGAAAACAATAAGCTCTGTTAGGAGAATAGCCTGGTGTAAGCAAAGCAGATGCAACACAATGGCGCAATGGAATAAAATCAACCAGTTTAAGCGAAGATACCATCGCAGCAACTGATCTACTAGGAACTGGAACACGGTAAAACATTATATCAGAACCATTCATGACACAGTAAAAATCCTTCCATTGTCGACTGACAGCTTTCGCATTCTGAGACTCAAGAACATGTTTCCGAAGTAAAATTCCCTCCCGATAAGGCGCAGGACAGCTGATCTTTCGATCATCTCCAGTAATTGAAGCCAAACTAAGCTGTGAACCAAAGGTAGATGAAGAATCCTTGTTCTTCTTAAGCGTAAAGTTTCTCAGTAGCGTCGATCCTTTGGGAGGTCGCAACAAGCTTGAAAGAACACCACCAAAACCGCCCTGATATGCTTCCTCAGAGGCCAATTCTTTAGCAACATCATCTTCAGGCTGTAGGATGGGCGTTTCAGCCACAGACCTGTAGAATTCCTTCAAAAGCTCCGCATCAATCTTGGCCTTCTCATCATCACTTAAATCAGACTCCAATGTCGGGATTGTATTATCAAGAAACTGTTCCAGAGTCATCTTGTTCATACCCTTCATACTTGCATTGTGTAGATCTGTATTGAGAAGAATCAGTGAGTAGACCAGTTTATGGACAAAAGTCGCATTGAAGAAGTCAGGATTACACTGAGAGTAACGATTAGCAAACGATTCCAGAATCCGATCCTGTTCCTGAGTCTCTCCCTTAAGAACAAGTTTACCAAGAAATTCTCTCAAAGCCTCCAGCACTGTCTGTGATTTAAACTCAAAGTGTTCCAAGTAAAGTCTCCTAATCTCAAAAGTCTGCTTGTCCGCTTTGGCTAGTCGTTCAGCGACGGTTGACTTCGTGAAGCCATTCTGCAGCCAAAGGTCCTCGGCAACTGCTTTAGCGCTTTGTAAGTCGACAGTCGAATCTGGCATTTGCAAAGTCAAACAGCTCGACACTTTCAACTAAAGTTTAGGGCAGTGAAAAATTCAGTTAAAGCGAAAATGCGAATGATGTCAAGAAGCGCTATGACAGGAATTTGGGGCTTTGGCGATTACAGAATGGCACAGTAGCATTTAGGCACTTCGAAACGATGATCGGCAACCTCACGCCAAAAAATTATCACGCTTCAGGGCAAAAAGAGTGGTGCCAGTGAGGTTCGAACTCACGCCTCTTTCGAGATCTGAGCTTAAGTCAGACGCCTTAGACCAACTCGGCCATAGCACCATCGACAAAAGTGAAAATAATTCGTTAGGATGTATCGAACATGCAGAAATCATTTCGAGGAACTCGGATGAATGCCAAGGAGTTACATCACGTGGATCGTCACATGGAGCTTCACGTGGATAATAGATCATTGGCTGGAGCGGAGATCCAATTTTGGAATGTTACAGCGTGATATATTCGAAAGAATATAAAAGGCGANTGAGGTTCGAACTCACGCCTCTTTCGAGATCTGAGCTTAAGTCAGACGCCTTAGACCAACTCGGCCATAGCACCATCGACAAAAGGGAACAATTTGTTGGCTCCTCGAGCCAAAACAACTGGTTATTATATCGTGTTTCAAAAGGGCTAAAAATTCGATTTATTTCATCATATCAATCACACGGGTCCGAAACCAAATGGATAAACCAAATAGCTCCTTCAACGTGAAATTTCATGATTTTTGGTAATAATGCTTTACTACAGCTAGCCAAGGTTATCCACCGACAATGAAGTNTAAAGGACGGTAATTTTGGGCTCGATCCTTTATCTTATAGAAACATTTTCAATTGGTAGTCGAGGCAAACAAAATAATGAG